AGAAGGAGCAGCGGAGGGTTGAATAGCGCCTTTAAATTACTGCTGACACCTCTGTTACAGCTCCCTAAAATCTCAATCAACAACCCATTAGAACGCGACGGGAGTAAAACTAAATCCTCGTTTAAGTGTATTTATCCGCTCTCTTTTCTCTCTTTCAAATGCTAAATCCATTTCAGCATATGCCCCTTCTTTCTCTCGCCTTTCTCTAAAGACTGGCAGCCCGTACTACTCTTGTAAATATGAAAGATGCTAATCATATGACATATCACGTCTCAGTCGGAGCCTGGAATAAAGCCTTGAGATTTGGGATCATTGCCTCCAGACAACAGCTTCATCAGCCGGAAAGTTGGTTTTTTTCTCCTTTCCTTCAACTCTCAATCCCTTCTTTGTCTGGGGGAAAATGCAGCCAACTCGAGCCACCCCGGCCATATGGTTCACTCTGTGTTTTCTTAGTTGAATCCTGAATTGTTTGTGACTTGCGAAAGGGGGTTTTTCGGGGTTGGTTTTTCTTTTTTTGGAAGTGTGTATAAAGACATAGAAGAGGCTGCCCGTACCCGGGCGGCTTTGCAGGGTTCCTACATGTCCTTCACGTGTTCGTTTCACACACGTCCCTCCCGCAGCCACCTCGCCGCTCCCGCTCTGCCCACCGGCCAAAAGAGACAGCCCCGGACGCGCTTTTTAACAATAACACAACCGATTCCGGGGAGCGTGTTGTTTTTCCCTCCGGTGGATGGAAACGCCTTCTTACAACACGATTTATGTTGTTCGTACCCGTCCGCAGGCCGGTTTGAATCTGCGGCGTGTGCTTACAGCAAATCCCTTCGCGAAACGCCGTGGCTAGGAGCAGCCCCCGAGTATTTTCGGTAAGGCAGAGTGGCTTTTAAGACCTGTATAAATTAGGAGCTGAATGAGTTCGGTGCGCTCGAGTTTGGATAGCCCCCTGTTCGACAGCAGCCTGCCAAATTTTCTTTTTCTCTCTTTCCTTACACAAACCCCCAAAAAGGCCCTTTCACCAAATCATTAAATTCTACAGAGGTGGTCAAGCTAGTCCTGCTTTTCAGGCGTTGGAGAAAGAAAAGGGTCCTTGAAGTTTAGAAGATGCCCAAGGAAAACTCATTGAATGACATCAAAAGAATGAGTTTCCATAGCTGTTGAAGCACGAGAGCCGTGTAGCTGCACAAAGGCGGGTTGGGGCAGTGGGACTGTCCCACTGCTCTATCCCAGCACAATTGGGTCACTGAAATAGGGAATTAATTACCATTGGAGAGTGGGCAGCCCATTCACCACTGGCTGAGTTTTATTAAACGCCAATATAAATAACAAAACAACTCTTGTGGCTGCACTATTCCTACACGCCAAAGGAAGGATTATGTTGGGGATTAACATCTTAAAGTCTATGAGACTTTCTGACTCAAGGCTCGGAGCTGGTAATCGTATTTGTCTCCTGGTTCAGCGATTAGTGCTCTCCCTCGCGCACCTTCGCCTGGATGGCCAATGTCCCTTTTTGCAGGCACCGGGTTTTTCACACAATCGGCTGTTCTTTTCCCCACATCTATAGAAAAGAATAAGAAAACTGAAGCGTGTTCACGCGATCCTCAAGCTTCTTCTCTTCTTCATGGGAAAGGAAGGCACCGGCGGCCTTTTTTCACAAGGGAGGGGAGGGAGGCAAACCCTCTTGGGGAGGGGGGGTGCTTGGGACGGCAAAATCGCTCCGCAGGCCTGCACCTGCCATGCAAATCCGCCGGGAACAATCGGCCCCCGACGAGGGGCTCGTCCGCCCCGGGGGGGGGCCAGGGAAGGCAGCGCTCTGAGGGGGGGCAGGGGGGGCGACCCCTCCTCGCCTCCATCCCAAAACGAACCCCAGACTCGCTAGTGCGGCTTGGGAATCCGGTCCCCATCCCTCCCTGCAGCACTTTTCCCTGCGCGGGGGGTGCGGGAAGGAGCTGGCTCGGGGCGAAGGACACCGCAGCAGCCTCCGATTGCTCCCCCCGCACAGAGCACCCCAGGGACCTATTCTGACCCCCCGGGTTACGAGCAGAACCATCCTGCTGGTGGGGTTTGGGGGTGCTGCCGTAGGGCTGGGTGCCCCAGGATTCGGGGTGCAGGGGGTACCCCAGCCCCCCGAACCCTCAGGAGACGCAGCAGGCATGAGGGAGCAAAGCCGGGAGGGGTCCTGTCCCCGCGGCTTTGTCCCCCCCTTTTTCCCGGGGGCCGTCGCAGCCCCCTTCACCTGGGGCAGGCAAGCCATTAATGCCGGCTCACAACTTGTGAGGTCGACGTGTGGATGGGCTCTATCCAAAGGTCTCTCGGCAACACAGACCCTAAACTTTTAGGGCTATTGGGTCACCTCAGAGTTCAATCTTCTTACAGCAAACAAAGCCTTTCTGAAGGTCTCCCCCTCTCCCGCACACAAGCTCACTGTCCTTTATTTCTGGGCTGTGTGATAAGCTTAAATCATTGTGCTCCCATTTCTTGATCGTCGCCTACTTTGGGCTTTTGTTCCCGTAAAGTAGGATTGAGTCTGGCAAAGGGGCTGAAGTTGAACAGTTTGACCCTTGGAGGACAGTTCAGGCGGTGGGCAGCGGCGGCGGCGTTCCCTCGCCCCCTCTCCCCACCGCTCTCGGCCCCACGGCTCTCGCCAGAGCAGCTCGGCCCTCGCTCGCGGACCACACAAGCGCCTCTTGGACCTGCCGCACCGGGAGGGTTGCGAGGGCTCGGTAGCCGCCTCGTCCTCCGTCACCTTGCGCTCAACGCTGCGGAGAAAACCGCTGCGTCAGGGCGGGGGGCTGGCGGCAGGAGTCGGGCCAAACCCCAAAAAGGCACCCCGATGCCCCCCACCCCCCTCACCGAGATTTCCGTCCTTCCATCCCCACCGTGACAGCGACGGAGGGGTTAGGCGGAGGCGGTGAAGCAGTGGGGAAGGCGGCGGCGGTGCTGGGGGGGGGTGGCAGGAGGGCACGAGCCCAGCCTTCACCAGACCCTTTTCGCTGAGATTTTAACTCTTTTATCTATTTGGGGCTTTTTCCGCAAATAAAATTCCGTTTCAAAGCCCGACTCCCCCAAAGCGCCTCGGCGACGGAGTTTCCGCAGGGGAGGGACGCCGCGCTACGGTTTTCCGTTTGTAGGTCCTGGCCGTCATTCCTTCCCCGTGGGTCTGTCAGGCAGAGCCAGCCTGCTGACCCCGGGGGCATGTCGCCAGGCCCAGCTATTCACTGGGGCTTTCTGCCCCAGAGGGTGGTCTGGAGGAGAAGCAAGGGGGAGGAAAGCTTTCCTGGTGGATTGACAAGTTAGGGGTTTGTTGTTTTTTTTTTTTTAAAGTCTTCTTGAGCCTATGTTTGCATCCAAGGGTTGTATTTGTCAGCGCTGAGCAAGAATGGCAGCCCGTGTGCCGGGACTGCGGCTTTCCTGGCTGCCAAAACACGGATGTCAGAGGCGCATGGCTTCTCCCTCCCCAGCCTTGCAAAATTTGCTGAAAATGCAAGGAAAAAGGCAGGGCCAGCACCCACCCTTGGGGATCAGACGCACCCCCGGAGCACGCTGCCTCCAGGGCGGTCCGGTATCCCTGCTTGCAGCCCCAAAAAGTAGCTTTTCCCCCCCAAAGCCGTGTATTACCAAAGCCCCCCCGCTTTCCCATCCCCTCGGGGGTCTCCCTCCCGCACCCACCTCCTCCTTCCCCCCCCCCCCCCCCCCCCCCCCCGCGCCGGGCCCGCGCCCACCGG